ATTTGATGGTTTGTTAGAATATCTCTTCACGACATTTTTCAGATAATATTAGTCAAAAATGACATTACGTATCTCAAGCAGTTTCATTAGCGGATACTTGCAGCAGGATACTAATCAAGAGTTTAAAATCACTTGCAAAAAGTGTGACACAAATCATGAAAAGAATTAAAAAGAGATAATTTTATCCGTATTAAAAATTTCTATCCTTTGACAATTAGTTATATACTTCTCATTATTCGTGATTAAATTTCGAAGCGACATTAGATATGCATTCCTACTACCAATCAACGTTAAATAACATTTAATGCGACTAATTTAAAAAGTAAATAAATGTTACAAAAGACAGAAATGTTATAAGATGAAAATTATCTCGAGCGAATATTTAACGTTATTTTTCCGGCATTTAAAGAATAAAATTTGAACCGGCTTCAAGACACTCTCGCGAGAATGTTTGTGATGCTGCTTGATGTCTATCATAATGCCAACTCTCTCTCTCGTCCCCTCAATTCGAGTTAAAGAGAGCTACGCCAGAAAATACGATATACAAATGAATTTCTCTGGGGTCGCAGCTCTCTTTTTCACAGTTTCTGTGATATTGACGATTTGTATATTGCACGTCTTTGGTTCACCACGCGCCGCGTGAGCCCGGATCATTCTTCAGTCGACGGATACGGAGTTTCGATATGATTTCAAGTCCAGTCAAGTGTTTAGTTTTAAGAAGAAAAAAAGAAAAAAAGAAATGTATTTCAAGAACTTGAAAAAAAAAAAGAGGAAACATCTTTTCGGCGCACTACAAATTACATCTACGCACACTCACGCTCTCCATCCTTTTCTTCCTTCTTTTCTCTCGCTCGCCAAGAATACGCATCCTACGACACGCACGGTTACTCAGTTCTGTTCCTGAATACGACTTCTGGAATCTGTCGTTACCTACTCGTTACAACGTTCTCGCTATTTTATACGCACGATCTACATATCCATCTACCATTCTCTCTTTCTCTCGTACATTCATCTGTCTCTCTCATTCTCGTGCTCGTCCTTCTACCAGATCTATCTACCTATTTTACTTCTCTGTTGTACATTCTTCCGCCAGTACTCTAACGCCTTTTACGGTTTTACGCTATGTACACTCTTTCCTGGCAGGCCCGTGGCGAAAGAGAGCGGGATGCTGGCCCGATTAAAAAAATAATTACTCGATTTCGCGGAACGTCTTCGTCGCCGAATTTCGATGCGCCACGCTCCAGAAAGCAGACGGGTGCGACGTCATGTGACTTCTTTTTTTCTCTTTTTATCTTTTTTTTTTTTTTGGACGCGAATACCCGAAGACCGTGTAAAAGACACTATTCTAATATCGCAGACATCCCAAGACGTCCAAAAATTATCCCGATATCTTTCAGATTTTTGAAAGATGAGACTTTCACCTCCTCTGTTTTTCAAAAGCTCCTTTACATCCGGATTTGCTCCACTCCGGCGAGAGGAGCGTTCCCCTTTATTCCAAATGAAATTTCACTACCTTCCCCTCATGACGTACGCGCGAGACCCGTCCTAGTCTTCCGGAGGCAGTCGATTGAGTAATCTCGGCGCCACTCTCAGTCGCCATTTGCCACGACGTGTACAAATCGGGTATTAATCTTAAAACGGTATAAACCTCCTCCTCTCGTCGCTCTCGTAATCGCACGCGCGATTCGCACAGCCACGCTCTCGCACACGCGATCCCCGAAGATCGGCTCTTTCCATCATCCCTTCTCGCACGCACCCACGCACTCTCTATCACCCTCAACACCCTTACGTTACTCTAACAGCGACTTTCTTTAGCAGTTAAACCGTACATCCTGCGAACTGTTATTCTTATCTGCCTTTCAACGAAGCTGTAGAGAAGTTATAGGAGCCATTGTGTTATATATACATATATATACATACACACAGATATGTATATATATTTATATATTTACTTTTACACTTTATATGTATATATTCAACGATAAAAAAGATCGCTTCGATCGAGCCGATCGAATATCCGTCGTCACCGCGGCAGACAGTGACAGCTCCTTTCCTCACGAAATGTGTGATCTTCGAGCGGTCGTTTAATCTATTACTAGTTACAATTTCGTCATAGATGAAACTTTTTTTCTTACATTGTCTCTCCCTTTCTCTTTCTCATGGATGAGACACCGTTCGAAGATCAACCTTTCGAGTTTTCACCCTTAAAACTCGCACAAACGTATCGACGACATTTGAAATTTCCGATAATGATTTCCAAGATTTCTCGCGCATCGTGACGCACGTGCCGCGATTAAATTTGAAAGAAAATGATTTCGGAAAAATGTATATGGATAAAAATTGGCATTTTGCAGGCATTTAAAAACTGTTCATAACAATTATGTAAATTGCTTTTAAGTTTCCTCTTCAATAGATATTGTTTTAATCAAGTCCAGTAAAGCAGTCCAATAAATATAATTTTGAAACTGATACTCACATGTATGTCTTTTCTATTCACGAAACGCAAATTACAAGATAGAATTACTTCGTGGCATTGTAATGTGTAAAAGACTTGACGTGTTTACGAGTTCGTCGACATTTGAAAAATGAACAAAAGTTCAATTAAAAAAAAAACGTCTGTTCCTAATACAGTAAATGTCAGTGTGGCCAAAAAAAGAAATAATTGGCGCATTGCAGAAGCTATTATTTTTTTTAAAGCCAAAAAGCAGATTTTTGCATAAGAGAATCAATCAATCAAAGTAATGTATAAAGGACTTTGGTTGGCTGATTTTTTTATTCGTTATGCAAAAGTCTGCTCTAAGTCTGCCACCGACAGACGGACAACGTCTGTCATTCATACTGATATCATCCGCGAGTGCATCCAGAGTCCAACGTAATATGAATGCCCAAATGAAGCGAGCTTACTGCCCGCTCGTAATTAAATCTTGCTTCGTAATAAGCTTAAAAATAATCGAACGTATCACGGCCGTTCAATGGCTACGAGCCTACTTTCGACGGGCGTGTTAGATTAGTGCGCGATAACAGAGAGATATATATAAAATAAAAACGCGTTCATAATATTCTGACGGAATATCGATAGTTGCGAAATAGTTGTATCACAGATAGCGTGAATAGTCCAACAACATTAAATGCGAATTTTGCTGTAAACGCAAAAAAAAATTGTATTAATATTCTAATGTCTAATATAAACTTTAGATATCGTTGTAATAATCATTATCATTATTAATAGACTTACATTATTCCGCGAGAACATTCTAATTAAAATACTTAATATATATATAACATAAAATATAATATATAACATAAATACATAACATTAATCTTACAATCTTTTTAATGACTAATGTACCTTCGTTAAATTAAAAGAAAACGTTTTAGTCATATCAGATATGAAAACTTTCTTGTTCACACACGCCAGGCGATCGATGCGATCGCTAAGAATGATATCAGTATGTATGAAGAAAGTGATGAAAATACTTCTCGCGATCAAACCACACGGACAATTCGAAGTTTGAAGATTTTTCGTTTGATTCAATCTGCAGTTTAGTCTCGAACGGGAAATTTGAGAAATTTCGTGATTTCGATCTCGTGATGATATTGCAACCGTAATATCGTCAACCTTAGCCGACACGTGCGCAGCGATGTGTGTGCTCGAACTTGCTTTTCAATTCAATCCTCTCCCGCATTCTGCCATCCCATCGAGAGCAAATCGCGGCATGCCGAGGATGATTACGCAGAATCAAGTAGAAAACGCGCCGAAACGAAACGAGTTAAGGGAGAACGAAAAAAAAATCGGTATCAATTGCAAAACTCGAGGATCTCGCCAAGAGGTTCCTCAAATGCGTGCAGCACACGACACACACGTGGTGTACGTGCGCAACACTCGTATACTTGATACGTACGTATATAGTACCGCACGTGTATATAATATATATATTTTTTTATATTATATTTTTCGTATGTGTATATATGTATGTATGTGTGTATGTGTGCGTGTATGTGTGTGTATTATGGAAGCGCCGAAGGATACTCGCACGAGATTTTCGAAACTATTAAGACTCAGACGTATGCGGGAAAACGAGACGTACATATCGGACTCGCGTCGTGGAAAAGATTTCAATTTGCTGTCATCATTCATCGAACGTCGTGTCCATTTTCGTATTTTCGAAAATCTTCCCGGCAATTTCTTTTTTTTTTTTTTTTTCTTCAACTGACTCGACAACGCGTCGAGCCCAAGTAAAAAGGATAGCAATGTCGCGCTCGGTGCTGTCTTCGCATCTGCATACCGCAGAGGATCTACCGCGAGAAGATATACAGAAGGTACGATCGTTCATTTTAAGCGATAAGTCTTGTCCCGTAACTGGGCATCTCTGCGTACCGCGCTGAGGGAGAAAATCGTAGAGAAAATACGAAAGATGGAGACGAAGGTGAATTTCTCTATTCTTTTTAGGCCCTCGTGCGTCCTCGCGTGAACGTCGACATCGAGCTTTGTACATTACCTTCGAGATCCGCGACTCTCGGAAACGCCGGGATCACACTTTCATCGCGAATGTCGAAAGCCTAAGATAGAATCGTACCTCCTACAGAGCGCCTCTCGTACGTTTCGGAAAATGATTATTCCGCTAAACGCGTGTGTCCCTTTCTAATCCACTCCCCTCTCCCACCCCCCTTGAAAAAACTAATACAGTCCTTACATCTCTGCGTACTTAAAAAAAAAA